ATATTTTAGCGGTGGCAGAAGCGTTATGAAAATGTGGGTGGGCTGTTAGATGTTGGGTGAAAAGCAGGGAACGGTGTCTGCTGAGTAGTAGTACATTTAGATGAGATGAATTGCTTGTCATCAGGCCATCAGCCCTTTGATACGGGGCCTCCTATATCCCAAGGCATTTCTGGTTCCCTCCTTACTATGTGTGTAAGTAAATGATCCTATCTTCAGGCTGCTTCAGTTATGGAAATCGTCTGAGCAAGGATTGCCTTCCTTTCTTGCAGTCAATGTCAGACCAGTTTCTCTGCATAAGTAAGACTGAGTTTTGCCAAGTGGAACTTCCAGTAATTGAGAACTAAATTTCCCTAATTCTTGATCAGAATTTTGGATTTCGTGTGCTTAAATAAATAAATGGTTAGCTGCAGAAAACACAAATGAACTTGTTTCCTGTTGTCTTGAGGTCTGTGAAGCACGTAGTATACAGGTGATTTTTCCAAGATGCTTTAGTTGGAAACATTTTATTGGTGATGGATATAGCCCATTATGTTGTGGTTTAAAATAATGACAGCTGTTTTAGTGGGTAAGTGCTCAGTCATTCAGATGTATGAAGTAGGGTGGATACACAGGCTATGCTTTCAGATTAAACACATCTCTTTTTAAAAGGAGTAAAACTTTATTTGCATTAGGCGCTAGTGTTTCTGACTTACCTTATTCTTATGCACTCTGAAGTAATTTAAAATCAAGTGCTCTGCCCATTAAGTATCTCTTCAGCAAAAGACACTGGGAAGTACTTTAAGCACTAACGATGAAAATGCACTGAGGCATTGAGATGGTCCATCACAAAAGTAGCTTTTTTTTGGTGCAAGTACAGTGAAATGTTTTCATTTTAGTTAGAATAATCTCAATAATTCCTTTAGAAAATGACAGAGAGCTGAAAAACAGTTCTTTGCATGTTGCATCCTCTTTTTGCTCAGAGAAAAAGGGATCTATTGGGGTTTTTGTTTGTGTTTTTTTGTCTTGACCAGAAACAGTTGAATTCACAAACTGTAATTTTTATGGTTGTTTAAGTTAAGTGAGAATCAATCTTTTTCTGAGTAAATAAACACTGTTTTCTTGCATTGTTTCTGTTTTAAATCAAACAGAAGTGGTAGAGCTAAATCACCAGAATTTCTTGCTTAAATTCCATCTGTCTAAAAGCATGGGATTAAATTTGGAGCCAATTGCTGATAGCGTACTTAGGCTCTTGAACACTCCAGAGGGTTTGGGTTTTTTCTCCTCCTCTATTATGTCTAGAGATATGCATGCATGTGTATTTCTTTTTTACTTTTATGAGCAATATTTTTTTTTACAATGAACACGACTAAATTGAGCAGTCACTGGTGTTGGTAGTTAATTTGCATGGTTGCTGTGTGGCCCCCAGGACCTGCAGATTTAGGGTCTTCACCGTGCAATGCCAGAAAGCTTTCCTGGCTCATATTAATCCTTACAACTTCTCAGCCTTCTATCTCATCAGCTCTCAAACCAGTCGGTGCAGTGTATGAAAATACCTTCTCACCTATTGTTTCCTTGGAAGAATATGCATTGGAGGCAGGTTACTGTGAAAGCCGTTCCGCTATTTTGAGGACTGCCAAATCTCTGGGAACTGAGTGCCTCGTATCATGTCACTGTCAGTTGCCATCTGTTCTTAAAAATATGTCAGCAGTATCTGTTGTGGACAATCTGTTCCTTCCTTGCCTTTTCCTTCTGTCTCACATTTACCTTCCACTTGTGCCCTGTGATTGTACGGAGTTTTGCCATCCAGTGGTGAGGACTCTGTCATTTCCTGCCCCAGCTCTGTCTGAAACGTTAATCTGTTAAGTACAGATGCCTTAGTCCAAGCTTCAGATTAGGTTCTGAACTTCCTTATTTGTCTTTTAGAAACAGTTGTGTAACTTCCAGCATTTCTTCTGATTACAAGAGTAAAGTAAAAGCCTGAAGCTGAAGTGGCTTGTTTTGTTTACCTCGTGAGCTTTGCACGCGGTCAGGGTGGTATAAAAATGCATCCAAGTAGTGCTTTGAGGGACCGGTAAAACTGAACTTCTGACTGTGGGCGGAGTTACATACTGAGTACCACCTCACAGCAGTTCTTGATATTTGCACTTCAAGGTAACTTTACCCAGATTGTTTTGTAGATAAATTTTGCTTTCCTTCCAAGGTACACTGATGGTTACGTTACCTTTATATAGTGCTATATTGTAATTGAACAGTATGCCAGTCTGTAAAATAGAACTTTTGACATCATCATCAGTGGCTGCTTTTTTTGTATAAACTTAGTAAATCAGATTGCTAATGAATTT